TCCGTGCCTGAATCATTTCATTAAATATTTCATTCTGTGTTGGTTTACCATTGAGAACCCATGTTCTAAACTTTAGCCTAGCAATCCTGTAAGCCTCGCGCACATGATCGTTCCATCCCGCCAACATTTTTCTACGAGTATTTCTATTTGGTACATAATAGGAAGCGTTAGCCGCCTCGGATAATATTTCTACTATACTAATATACATTTTGTTTATAATTTGCTTATGACTATATACACTACAATGCTGACCACTACAGTGTTGAAAATCTGTTGGAAAGTCAACATCTTTTAACTTAGATTTACATAAATTATAATATAAATTAATTTGAGATCCATTTCTATTCCCCCAACATACTTTATTACGCGGTGTGGGTTTAACAGAAATTGTACTTAAGATTACATTAAAATTACACTTAATTACTAACGGAAAGTGATCAGACCAATAGATATCATGTTTTACATATATATCTGTTATACATGGAGCAGCTGCCTGAGTAACAACACAATGGTCCAACCACCTCTTACTGTAATGTGCTTCACTAATAAAAGTAAAGGCGCCTTGTGGGCTGAGGTAGTTAAAATCTGCACAAATCCACCTTTGCTCTTGTGAAAAGCACAGGAGCTCATCACAAAATCTTTCACCAGGATGCGCATTGAAATCACCTAACACAAATACTGACTCAACATTGTTGTCCTGTATTATTGCACTAATAGCACCTAAGCAGTCTGTAAATTCAGGTAAGTTCTCACTGCAATCGACGGGCATGTATACACTTAGCACTAACACATAACAGTCTTTCATCGCAATACGTATTGCTGAGATTCGCGGATTTGCACATGTTAACACTGACACATTTTGAAACACTGACTTGCGCCACAGCAGCGCAACGCCACCATATGGCCTGCCCTTCACCACGCCAGTCGTTGTGTCCACCGCCGATGTACCGGTACTCCCGAAGTCTGCATGAATTGTGTCGAGGAAGGGAAGATCATGCGGCAAAAGCCATGTTTCTTGTAACGCAACAATATCAGCGATATCGCACAGTTCTCTGACGCCATCAACTGAACGTTTTATACTCTTACAGTTAAATGATATAATGTTTGAGTTGTGTACATCCATATTTAAAAGTTACGTTTATTCGCCGCTTTCCACGGTAGTTCTGTATGGTCTGAAGCGCCGACAGGTAACTCCGTTGGGCCAGACTTCAGTATTCAAAAACATATTTAAGGCGTCTTTATTCACAGTTAATTTATAAGCGTTATATGGTTTATCGGTTTTCATTTTAATCTTCTGTATAGATACCGTCTCCTTTGTTTTAGTAAATATATAATCAACTATATCATTTTCTGATGTATCTTTATGTACGTTTGACAAAAATAGGCATAATTTTATTTCAGCCGGTTTAAATTTGTCATCTGGGCTGATGACTGCCTTGCCTTTAACACCTTCCTGTCTATTCCTATGTTTACGCCGCTGAACCTCTCTCCATTCCAGGTCAGGATGGGTAACCCTCCATTCACCTCCGTAACGAACTACGTCCGCCATAGACATATTACACGTATTATTTTCCTGGATGGTAGTATTATTAATATTTTTGTGTGCTACAACATTTTGGAACAAACTCTCTTGCTCCACTATAATATTTTGGAATGAACTTTTTTGCTCACCCACACATTGCAACATCGTATCCGTAGCAACTTTGTTTGTCGTGTCTCTCTTTCTGTTTACATCGCAGGTCGTATGCGCAGTGCTAACATTTTGTAGTTTAGCGCATACTGCTGTGTTAGGGGGCGGGGCCTCCTCGCTTGGGCTCAAGCATTGCAATGTCGCATTCAAGGTCACGTCACTGGATGCTCGCTCGGCGCTTAATTTACGCGCACCTACATTTTGTAATGACTGTTTTGAAGATTCTTCGAAGTTTTTAGTTCGTGAATGATTGCTACTAATATCAGTGTTAGTGTCCTTAACATATTGAATAGTAGCATAAGTTTCTTTTATGTTCTGAACCTCCGATCGCAAAAGCACAATATCTTTTAACAATCTTGTTACGTCGACATGATCGAAAGTAACCGGCGGTAACTTCTGCAACTCCCGCGCCACGAAGATAGGAGTTTTATCTGGATCTGTGCTCTTAAATAAGCAAATGATGTCTTCGATATCTTTTTGCTCCTTGTTCTTGCGCCTCGAGATATTACGGGTAGTAGTAGTAACCGACTCTAATAATAAGTTTTTAGCTTCAGTTATTTCTACTCCTGAGAATGCACTCACTATTATTCTTATTAAACTTTCTTCGTCCATAACGTCTATTTTGTTTTGAGTAAAACATAACAACTCATTTATCACTATATTGCACTGTGTACACTTTAAAAATTGCGCGGTTTGCGCCGCCATTTTTTCTGCACCCGAACGCTAGCGCGGTCGCGGGGAAATGACCCAAAATTTCCTAATTGTGGCATAAGCCCGTAAACAAGCAAACGGATCACCTGATGGTAAGCCATCGGCGTCCCCCATGGACACCCGAAACACTAGAGGTGTTTGTTCGTTACAAGTGTGTTACCGGCCTTTTGGGGATTAGGAGTTTGAGGATCATTGGGGATTCAGGGATTGGAGAGATTACTTAATACTCTATTACTTTTCACATGTATTACTTAGGTGGTAAGCATAATTAGAACACAATGTGAACCCTGTCGGGCACAACAGCATAAGTTTTGGAGGGTGCACACCTGACATGTCATTCGTAGAATAAAAAAAATATAATTAACAAAAAATAAAATTAATATCAAATGGAATACAAGATAAAGGTATAATTGAAATTGTAGTATTTAGGAGTCGAGTCATTTTTTAAAACTTAAACAATCAAAATTATATACAAAGTCAGAAATCATAGTAAAATAAAAAGTCATGTTCAAAATTAAAAACAGTCAAAATACAAGCAACAGAACAGTCAAAAATTAAAGTTTAAACTGTCAAACACCAAGCGGTCACCGGTGACCGCAACCTATTGTTCTATAATTGTGTCCATAATGACGGTACTCGACGAGTTAAATAAAGTCAAAATTAAAATATTACAGTTAAAATTACAATTACCCACTAACAGTTTTATTTGAGATATTGGTTGAGAAGTTTATCGTTTAAGATTGTGGAAGGGGAGCGTAATTGGGCCTCCGGATGAGATGGCACATTATTGAAGTAGAACTTTAAATTTTGTAGCCTTTCAGTGTTCGGGCATAGATTGTATGCTCTGGAACAAAACCAATTATCTTTACAACCACTGTTTAAGGAGTACCATATACTGACACTTCCGTCACTATACATCTTGGAAATAGCTTTATTTGTAAGAAATAACCCTCTCTGGTTTCCTCTCTTAGCAGATAATATTGTTAGGAATAGACGCAAGAAATATAAACATTATCTACAGCCTCACTCTGCGAAAACAGCACTTCTCCGTAAAAGTGTGTTTTGTATGGCACCTTTAATATATAATAAAATTCCGCATAATTTGAAAAATATAAATAATAATACTTTGTTCAAAAAAGAACTAAAAAAATTACTTATTAAGCATTGTTATTACCATATTACGGATTTTTTAAATGATAATTTATAAGTTCATTGTTTCATATGTTTTAACTTTAGTTGTCTCTTTAATAGATTTATAAGTTTTATAATTATTTTGTACGCCAATTGTGGCAAAACATGTTGAGACGTTACAGTGTTTATTTTATCATCTGCATTTGCATTGATATGTATAATGTTACCCACACATGTTTATATAAATAAATATATCTTTATCTTATGTAACTCAGTTGGCTCTAGACAACCAATGGTGCCGTCCTAGATTTAAGGTCATCATCAACAGCCTATAAATGCCCACTGCTGAGCAATGCCTCTTCTCACACGGAGAAGGTTTGAAAATTAATCACCACGCTTGCTCAATGCGGGTTGGCGGTTACAAACATTGTTTCCTCACAATGTTTTCATTCGCCGTTTGTCAGTGGTATCTAGATAATCTTAGAAAGTACATATAACTCGGAAAACGTTACATTGGTACTTGCCGTTGGTAGGTTTTGAACCTGTCCCCTCATGCATGAGAAGCGGGCGTCTTAAACCTCCGGGCCACCACGAGAGATTGTTAGATAAGTTGCAATAAGTTAAATAAATTATTTTATGATTATGCAGACATTCGGATACAAATGAAAATGTTTCGGTACTGAATGAATCTTTAATTTCGTACTGCTTCGTTGGCCGAGTGATCGCAATCGCTAGTGCGACCGCTAAGCAAGGGTTCGATCCCCGGATCGGGCAAAGTATAACAGGTTTTTTTTTTTAAACTCAGTAGTAGCACGGAGTCTTGAAGTGCCCGGTATATGGCAATAAGCTTACTCCCTATTACATGGGACTCATAATATAACTAGTGAACAGTGGGTGTTACATTGTATGTGGGTCATTGGCCTTTAAAAGCCCGACTTTTAGTTATTATGTACTAGCAACCCGTCCCGGCTTCGCACGGGTGCAATATGCATGTATTATACATATAAACCTTCCGTAAGAATCACTATATCTATTAAAAAAACCGTATCAAAATCCGTTGCGTAGTTTTAAAGATCTAAACATACATAGGGACACACTGCGGATAGCGACTTTGTTTTATTCTATCTAGTGATTATATATTAGGTTCTGCCAGAAGCTTCACTCGTGTTTCCGTGCTAAAAATAGTAGCCTATGTGATATTCCCGAGTATAATCTACAGCTTTGACGTGATTGAAAAATAAACATACTAAATTAACTAAAAATCGCGGGTTACTCACGTGAATATACTGAGAAAAGATCTACTAGTTTCGAACCACAGAGGGGTTCTTCCTCATGAGTAGCGTGAGCGGTACCCGCGCCGCTGGTGAACGTACCGTGCGCGTCAACATCGACCGGCGCGCTGCCGTCGGAGTTGGAAGGAACGCTCGTGGTGTCCGGCAGAGGGCGCAGTAGGCTCGCAGCGCAAGTAGCAACATCGCCGCGACCGCGCACGCTGCTCACGAGGAAGAACCCCTCTGTGGTTCGAAACTAGTAGAGCTTTTCTCAGTATATTCACGTGAGTAGCCTGCGATTTTTAGTTAATTTAGTATGTCTCACGATAGTTATTGTAAAAACAAACATACACTCTAATTTTCACATGATTAGAATAGAGTAGATGCCTAGTTTTTATTTTAATGTCCGTCTGGTAGATTATTTTAAATCATTAGACACGTATTTTTTATTTTCTTACTGAAACGAATACTTTAGACGATATATTGAATTGAAAAGTCGCGTGACGTCACTTCTATGTATATTTTATACGTAGAAATGACGCTTAAGCTCCCACTCCTAAAGTTTGATTCGTTTTATCTAAGTATTGTTTTATTATACGACAAAATAAAAAAATACGTGTCTAATATTTTTTCATTACCTAACTTACGGACTAATTAGATTTTTAATTTTCATACCCTGTCATCATCCCAATACTAATCAGATCATTTTTGTCAACAGGCCTACTCCATCAATAACGAGTCCAAGCACCTGCTAGTATTTGGTGTGCCAGCCCTCAATCTACGACAAGAAACGAAAGCTCTGTTCTCCAAATTTGGCAAACTACAATTTAATATAACGAAATACCCAGCTGAACAGTTTACGGAAACTTACCATGCCAATTTTGAAGACATCCAATCCGCGAGGCTTGCTAAAAAAATGTTGGATACTAAAAACTACTACGGTGGACATTTACATATTAGTTATGCCCCGGAATTGGAAACATTGGAGGAGACTAGACAAAAGTTGATGCTGCGTAAACAAAATGTAATAGGCAGGTTGATAAATTTGGCAAAGTCTTCCGATAATGTGGTCGTGGAGCCTAAAATTGTGCCTGAAGTTACCGTACAAGAAAAACAAGAATTAGTGGATAAGAAGACGGTTTACATGGGTGATGTAAATGTGATTAATGATAAAAATGGTACTAATAAGAGAAAAGTTACTGATTACAAAATGGTGAAACATTGCAAGCTAAAAAAGTCAAAGATATTTGATAAGAAATTGGTTTCGGTTACTGCAAGCACTGTTCCTAAGGGTGTGGTAGAATCAACAGATTCCGTTAATTTAGAATTCACAGTGTCCGAGGAAGCGGTTAAAGTGAATGATAAACCGTGTGAAGTAGTGGACTGTACATCTGTTGAAGCTGAAGTGATCACTAACATTAATGAACATTTGAATTATAATAATTTTGGTAAAGAAGTTATTAGACAAGTGCCACAAAAACCTGTTAATAAAATTAGATTTATGTTAAATAAAAAAACTATATTATATTTGTTCGGTTATTTTTTTTCTTAGTACCTAGCTTCTACCAGTGGTTTCGCCCGTGTTCTCGTAGGATAGAAAAGTAGCCTGTATTGTTGCACATCATAATATACCGCTGTTTCAAATTTCATCTTGGTACGATTCCAACATACACATAAAATTTCTATTTCTATCATTAGTAAGTAAGATGTTTGACCACTATCTCGCCTGATGGTAAGCGATGATGCGGCCTACGATGGAGCACCATCATCTTCAACAGTCTACTGCTGGACTATCTCCTCTACATAGGAGGGTTTGTCATAATCTCCGCAGGCAGGCGCTGGAGATCGGAGCATAAAAGGATCAGGTTTAACAGAGCGCGCTGCTGACTGTACCTTTTGCACGAGTTTTCACAAGAACAAGACGCATTTAACGTTTACGAGATATACATAAATAACAGGCAGTACAGTAGGCAGAGGTGCACATTATGCCACTGTACAATGTAACACCCACTTTTTACTATTTATATTATGAGTCTCATGTAATAGGGGGTTAGCCTATTGCCATATACCCGGCACATTTCCAGACTCCGTGCTACTACTGAGATTTTTTACAAACCCAGTAATTGTCCGGCAGTCGCACTTGCGACCACACAGTCTATGAGGTTTCCGAAACAATGTGAAAATAATAGACAATTACACTCCGTCTAAGTGTGTTAAGTTCTCACCAATACCTATAAATAATTAAAGTCCAAACACGGGGTCGTTGCTGTAAATCCTCGAGGAGTTCCCTCGACTGTCTTTCGGTTTGTTGTTAAATACTGAAAGGGGACAGATTTAGTCCAACGTAGATATAGCCCAAGAGATTGAAAATTTTTTTGCCAACATTCCTATCAAAACAACCAAAGATTTAGAGTCATCAGCAACACTCTCCGTAACTTTGCTTAAGAATCATATACAATCGTGTCAGCACGACTTCAGTTTTCGATATACGAATCCTCTAGAAATAATAAAAGTATTTAAAGAGATCAAGATCAAATCAACTGAGGATCTATGGGGACTATCGGTAAAAGTTTGCAAGTCACTCATTCAAACTATAGCGCCACACTTGGCTGTGATTTTCAATGAAAACATAGATGATGGTATTTTCCCTGACCTAATGAAATATAGTAAAGTTATCCCACTATTTAAAACTAGTGACACTAAAGAACCAAACAATTATAGGCCAGTATCTGTTTTGCCGGTTCTCAGCAAAGTGTTTGAAAAGTTATTGCTGTCTCGGATGCTTCATCATTTTAAACTGTCAAACACCAAGCGGTCACCGGTGACCGCAACCTATTGTTCTATAATTGTGTCTATAATGACGGTACTCGACGAGTTAATAAACATTCTATCTTTCACCAACAACAATACGGTTTTACTAAAGGTCGTTGTACAACTGACGCCGGTGTCACTTTAGTGAAAGAAATATTTGGTGCTTGGGAGGAAGCATAAGATGCTATTGGTGTCTTTTGTGACCTCTCAAAAGCGTTCGATTGCTTTGACCACGAGACACTTTTGCTGAAATTAGATCACTACGGGATCAGAAACACCGCACTCTGTCTAATAAAGTCTTATTTAGAAGAAAAGCAATTAAAGGTTCATGTTAACGGTATTAACTCGTAGAGCTCTGGAATGAATATGGGCGATCACCAAGGTTCAATATTGGGTCCTTTTCTCTTTTTAGTCTATATAAATGATTTGCCATTTATATTCAAGAATGAACCAAGAATGGTGCTATTTGCAGATGATACTTCATTAATTTTTAAAATAGATCGACGTGCTAATAATCTTGACGACGTAAACAGCTCCATTCTTCGAGTGCAAAATTGGTTCACCATTAATAATCTAGCGCTTAATGAGAAAAAAACAAAATGTATAAAATTTAGTTTACCAAACGTCCGAGGTAATGATTGTGATGTTGTTTTGAACGGCCAAAAGTTAGAATTGGTCGACGAGACGATATTTTTAGGCATTACATTAGACAATAGGCTATAATGGGGCCCGCATATAAAGGCGCTTTCGGGGAGCTTAAGCTCAGCTGCTTTTGCAGTTAGACAGATTAGACAGCTCACGGACGTGGATACGGCAAGGCTTGTCTATTTTAGTTACTTTCACAGCTTTATGTCGAACGGCATTTTGTTGTGGGGTCGAGCTGCAGAAATAGAATCAATTTTTATTCTTCAAAAGTGGGCTGTCCGAGCAATATATAACTTACGCTGTTGCGAATAGCTAACAGAATTGTTTAAAACAATAAATATCTTAACTGTGCCCTGTCAATACATATAATTATGAAAATATAATGTAGGTATGTAAGAAAAAATAGGCAATTGTTCGAAAAAAAAAACGATAGACACAATCTTAATACTAGAGGCAAGAATGAGTTAGCTGTAATTCAAACTGCAATTCAGACTGTCCAAGGTACAGAATGCATGCATACTAGATCTTAATGAAAGCATAAGCGCGAATTGTGTAAACAAGCTTACTACAGATTGATTGATTATCTTGAGGATAGGAATGCCTGACAGCGTGTTGGTTCGGCTCCACTGGACAATACTCAAATGTAGTCAGTACCTAGTCCAGATTCCGATAATAGGTAATTTATAACTTTGATTCCGATGAAGGCAATCTATTTTTCAGAATCCTAGCGTGGAGCAACGTTTTTATTTAAAAAAGGTTAAAAGATTACATCTGCTAAAAAAAAATCAGTTCGTAAAAACTTGAATAAGTAGTGGAAGTATCAACAGCGTATAAATGTCTACTGCTGAGCAAAGCCTCTTCTCACTCGGAGAAGGTTTGTGGTGGAGGTAGTTTTGTACTAAATATCAGATCGATCTGTCGTCAAGAAGGAGATAAGATATCTTAAGTTTATTTTTGTGGAATAGGAGGCAAACGAGCAGACGGATCACCTGATGGTAAGCGAACCACGCATAGACACACGCAACTCCGGAGGAATCACAGGTGCTTTGCCGGCCTTTTAAAAAGGAATACGCTCTTATCTTGAAGGTTCTAATAAATTAAGTAAAAACGCGGGTTACTCACGTGAGTATACTGAGAAAAGCTCTACTAGTTTCGAACCACAGAGGGGTTCTTCCTCATGAGCAGCGAGCGCGGTCGCGGCGACGTCGCCGCGTTTTTACTTAATTTAGTATGTCTCACGATAGTTATTATAAAACACAGGTTCTTATAAATTAAGTTCTAATTACTGAATTTGGCAAATTAACAAACAAACAACGTCAACTTATTAACACACATAAAAAAGGGACGAACTAAATAAAACGTTAAAAGCCTTTCTTACTCCAACGGCTCCAAATCTAAGATCCGCAAAATATGTCTAATCTCTTCTAGAACAGTTGCACGCCAACTTGCAAGACTATCTTCTTTGATAACATCATGTAGTTCGGGACAGTCTTTGGTATCGTAAGAACATTTTTCTCTGAAGTGTAGAAGTCTACCTGGACCTTCAGGAGGCACATGGCTGAGGGAACATGGTGTGTTACATGATATGGGCACGTGGTTGTGCATAGCTATCACAGATGATGTGTTGAAAAAAGATTTCTCCCTCATCCCTGAAAAGAAATAAATTTTATATTAAAATAAGCTTAATACAGCTTTTTAAAGGGGGGAAACGGAAATCATGGAATGACTGCTCCCGCCTGGGTAAGGTGATAGGGATTGTCAGACTCTTACTGACTAAAAACCACCCCGTTCCTTCTTGTTAACACGACAAGCTTAATAAGGCTCAGCATTTCTTAGCATTCATGGCGATGTAAACTGAACGTGTGTACAAAACACACTAGTTGACAACTAGTCAAATTCAATTCTTTTATCGAAACGTCAAAAATGATACTGTGCTCTGAATATTGTACGAAATCCCTACTTAAGACGTCATCATATTTTCGCGTCAAACAGCACACTTATATCTAAAAAATATCGGCAAGTCAACGAGTGAAAGTGTAACTATTTTTAATAGATATTTAATTAATTTATTTTTGACCCAAAACTACTCAATTTCAGCTGTCTTACCGAATAATTACGGTACATTTACACACAGTACATTATAGTAAGGTATACGGTACATTTACACAGTTCTCCTAGATCCTAGAATTGATACCACGGCCTCACATAAAACCGATGTGAAACCACGCTTGCGTTATGTTTTGTCGTGTGAATGAGGTTACCGGAGGCCCAATTACCCCTCCCCCAGTCGCCCCAATCGCCGAATCCTCCACAATCCTCAAATTCCCAATTCTCAAAAGGCCGGTACTGCACTTGTAACGCCTTGATGTTCCAGGTATCCATTGCGACGCCGATTGCTTACCATCAGGTGATCCGTCGGCTCGTTCACCGGCTTATGCCATAAGAAAAATAATTTCATCAATTTCATTTCGTGATTCCCCACTGTGATTTCCTTGTGCCAACCACTGCGCCAATTGTGCGATTTCTCTTATAGATTAAAGCAATGCTTGGCATTTAAGAAATGTCGGTTTGACCTAATTGAACTCACCAATTGGACTGGGCACAGTGGCCCGCCAAGTATGCGACAGTATTCGTGCTTTCGAAGGTCCTACCAAATCTTTCTGAGCTCCATCCAACACGAAGAAATTTCTAAAGACCAGAGCATCAAATACCTCATCAGACATTTGTATCTCGATCAAAGTAGACAATGTTTCACTTCTGTGAAAAAAATAAATTATGTTGTGGTACCATCTATAGTCTTTTTTTTACACTATATAGGTCGACGTTTGACCACCATCTCGCCTGATGGTAAGCGATGATGTGGCCGACGATGGAGCACGCCTACCTACGAGCAACCTGTTCACTCGGGACTTGAAAACATCCAAGCCATATTTGTCGGGAAACCCATCCTCTGGCAAGGAGTTCCATTCCTTAGCGGTTCGCATGAGGAAGCTTGACGCGAAACGCTTCGTGCGAATGGGTGGAATATCCACCATATAAGGGTAGCGCCCCGCCGTT